TAGTAATTGTTACTGTTCCACAGCAAGATATTAGGTCCAAATTTTACCTGTACGATGATCACTTATCTACCTAATCCTGAACTGCATCCCAATTTATTTAAATTTATTTATTTAAAATAAATTTTTAAAAAAGAAAAGAAAAACTAGGCTGTTGTGATCTGCAGTAATAGGACTAGTAAAAAAAACCCCAATACCAGGAACAAATGTATATACACTTAAGCAGCCTGACAATAACCACAGTTCGTTTTCTCCCCACAACCTTTGCAGTCCTCACTTGGACAGAGGGCTAAGTGAAACAGTGTTTTGAGGTCTAGTTCTGCTTAAAGGAGCCCAGACATCTCCTGGATCTGGGGCTTGAAGGGTATGGGGAGGAGGAGGAGGACTGAAAAAGAAATTCTGTCACTTAAAGAAATTTTGTGAATGAGGAAAGAAAAATTAGAACCCTGAGAAGTAGTAACTTAATCCTTTCTTGGGCCAAATAAATATCACCTTCTTTGCAACAATAGCCAAGGACACCTACTTGTAACTTTGTATAAATATTTTTTCCACCAGGAATTGTAGGGATCACCAAGCTCGACAGGGAGCTAGAAGATCATAACCCTTTAATTTTCACTTTTACATGACTTAAATTCCCTAAGCAAAGTCAATGACTTCTGAGATCTGTAAACACAACTTCTAAACAGTTGCACACTTAGCACAACCAAGAAGCGAGCCATTTATGTGGAACTTTGGTTCTTACTGCCCCTCAGCCCCAACAAAGACTGTACAGCCAAGGAACCATTGTGATCAAGCATGGGGTGGGAAGAAAAAGTTCGTCCTTAAGTAATATCACCAAATAGTAGATATTGGGCACAAATCTACTACCTAAACTGAATTTCCGGATTCATTATAACTACTCATGTTATCTAGGTGCCCAAATTGACACTTCAAAATGACAAACTAATTTGGTTAGGTTAAAAATACTTTTAAGTTTAACTTTTTTTTCCTCTAAGGTTTTTCTTTTTTCCCCCAATTTCTCTTAGTATATCAAAAGCAAACATAACCAAATTTGTTCTTTTAACTAATGGGTTACGTCTGAAACACCATTAATCCACAAAACTCTTTCCATTTTTGACTCATTTTATCTCTCTGAATCTCAGTCTCATCATCTATTAAACGGGCCCAAGACCAGTTGATATATGAAGTTCAAGTCTCATGCTAAAATTTTTTAACTCAAAAATTCCTGGACTTGTTCTTACAGAGTAAGTAAGCACTGTACATTTCATTAAGATTATTAAATGAAACTTTGTTTACTCTGGTTATGAATGAAAATGAACATCCACATACTGTGTCCATTCTATCGAGCTATTTTAACTCACAACACTTCTGACACCAATTATGTGGATTTTTTCCTCACACCAACCACCTGTTCAACTGGGTATCCTATGTTTCAATCAATTCAATACAATTCACTAACTACCCATAGTTACATCAGGCTCCACAACTTTAAAGGCTCAAGTCTCACAACGTGGCCCTCATTTCAGACAACAGTTGCGAGTCCTGAGATACCCACACTTCCGTCCAGCTTGTCTTCAAATTAGGGCTTTCCACATGGCCTCCAACAAGATTTGATAGAACGTCTCACAGAACTCAGAAAAGCACTTTATTTACTATCACCGGTGTATAAAGGACACAACTCAGGAATAGCCAAATGGAAGAGATGCATAGGAAAAGGTGCTTCTCTGTCCTCTCTGAGCACGCCACCTTCTAGCATCTTGATATGTTCATCAACCTAGAAGCTTTCTGAACCCCGTCACTGAGTGGCTTTGAATGACGGCTTCATTGTGTAGGCATGACTGATGAAACAATCGGCTACTGGGGATGAACTCAATCTACAGCCCCGCTCCCCCCCCTGGGGGGTCGGAAGGTGGGCTGAAAGTTCCAAGCTTCTAATCAAGGCTTGGTCTTTCTGGTTACGAGCCCCAATCCTGAAGCTTTCTAGGGGCCAGCCAAAAGTCACCTCAGCAGAACAAAGACACTTCTATCATCCGTATCACTTGGGAAATCCCAGCAGTTTTAGGAGCTCTGCCAGGAACCAGGGGCAAAGACTAAATAACTTTCTATGATGCCACAATTCTGAATCAGAAATATAATTCCAACCAAAAGCAAAATGATTAACAATTATTTCAACAGGAGATAAAAACACACACACTCCAGTTAGCCAAAAATAGGCTATATGGCTTTATTTATTTATTTGAGACAGAGTCTCATTCTTCACCCAGGCTGGGGGTGCAGTGGTGCAATATGGCTCACTGCAGCCTCAACCTCCTGGACCCAAGCGGCCTCTTGTCTCAGCCTCCTGAGTAGTTAGGACTCTAAATGTATGCCCCCATGCCTGGCTCATTTTTGTATCTTTTTGTAGAGACAAGGTCTTGCTACTGTCCAGGTTGGTCTTGAACTCCTAGCCACAAGTGATCTTCCTGCCGTGGCCTCCCAAAGTGCTGGGATTACAGGCATGAGCCACCATGCCAGCCCTATTAGGGCTATTTTATACACAGTTCAACGTCTTTTAAAATAAGGAGATCCTAAAAGATAAATATGGTGATGGAGTATAACATGATTTAATATTCAAAACTAAATTAATAATCTGATATAGATTTACATTGATAAGATCAAAAGTCACCTCTGAAAACTGTTAGAATCGAGAAATAGACCTGAAGTACAATTACTTAGAAGTTTCAAATTTTTTAAGGGGGGGGGGAATTAAAATCTAACAGGTAGTTTCTCAAGCTGAATTATGCTGGAGCGCTTGACTTTATATGTAAAATGTTCAGGTGGTTTATGCATTTGGTTGTACAAAAATGAATTCAAGAATTCTACTAAAAATTAAGCTCATAAATGGTGTCAATAACCAAACAGAGGAACTGGCACAAGCAGATGAACAATAAATACTTAGTTTTCTTCTCTTTCCTCTTCTATCAGCAGATGTATTATCTACTTTATGAATTAGGTTAAAGAAGTGTTACACATGATACCAGAGTGAAAAAAAAATGACTGAGGTAATAAAAAAGAATCAAGAGTTGTAAATTAAGAGCTGAAATAAACACTCTCTGTATTGTTATCAGGCACCCATCATCCTGGGTGTGTAAGGTTTAAAAAGTTCTTAACCGCCGGGCTCGGTGGCTCAGCCTGTAATCCCGCGCCTTTGGGAGGGTGAGGTGAGTGGATTGCCTGAGCCCGCGGGTTCGAGACCCGCCTGGGCAGCGAGACCTCATCTCTACAATAAATCAAAAA